GGAACTATCTACACAGCAAGAAATTGAAGGAAGAACCCTCTTCTTTCAACTTCACTTATTCCTTGTGAAATCAGGATTACAGGAGTAGGAGGCTATGTCTAGACTACATACATCTTTAGAAAGAGGGATGTAAATTAGAGAGATCAAAATTGAAAATGAAGCCTGGATTTGAATTTTTGTGCTGTAGATGTACCCCGGTGGTACAACCTCCCACAATGCTCCCTTGCTGAAGCATTTTATGGGAAATAGTCTGTATTTTCATGTCACAAAACTTTAGCCATGTTATTTGTAATTGATTACGGTGACTACGTTTCTAACCAATTACAAAATCAGTTATAGCTGTACTCTAGACAGTCCCTAACGTCATCAAGTCTTTCAGCTTGTAAGTGTAAAATGCATAATTTGAAAAGGGAAACCATAGGATTAAAAGAAAATTCTAAAAAATAACCTTTCAAAAGAAGTCATATTATGACATTTTGTCCCACATTTTCAGGTGTGTGCAAATCCCCTAGTGTACACCTTCACATTGGGAAAGCTCTCATGTATGCAGGTAGATATGTGCATAAGTAACCTGTAGTCTGCACATGAGCATTGCTGGATTTGCATATCTAATTTGGGTATGTACTTACTCAGTCATACCCTTGTTTGAAACTGTGGATGCTTGCTATTATAAGTAGGCAAAGCTGTATTGTTAGAGCACTACAGTCATTCTGCTGTCCAGCAGTTATAAATTATACCTTCATGGGGCCTTGAAGCTACATATACAAGAAAACTGATGTGAATTTTTAGAATAGTAACCACTGTATATGGGAGTAGTCCACTTTAAACCACAAAGTAGGAAATAAGTGAAAATGTGATTTGTAGAAATGGCCGTTACAATAGCTAATATTTCTGGGTGTCAACTGGAATATTGTGTTTTATTTTCTCATTAGGTTTTTAATGAGTTAAAACTATCTAAATAAACACTGGCATAAGAGTTAACAGTGCCTGGTTGGAGATGAACTTTCAAGAAAAAGTAACTACACCAACTTTTCTGCCAAGATGTCAAAATATTGTTAATTAAATCACCCCCTAAAACAGCTATCTACTAAGTCATTTTCAACTGTTGGAAAGAAAAAATTCAGCCTGCAGGAAAAGAAATGGGTTTCAAACTGTTCCATATAAAGTAGAGGTGAGCGTGAGCCACAGAATTTGGATCCAGATCTAAACTTCACCAAACCCTGGGGGTGTGCACTATCCCTAATTCTAAGGCTATGTCTACACTACCAGGTTATTTCAAAATAACTTAATTTGAATAATAACTCCCGAAATAAGTATTTCAAAATAAGCTTATTCCTCTCCACAAGCAGGAGTTATTGTTTCGAAATAACAAGAGTGGTAGTGTGGATGCTCGCCTTGTTATTTCGAAATAAGAGGAGTTATTTTGAAATAATGCCCCAGTGTAGATATGACCTAATATAGTACGTCTACACAGCACCCATACCTTGAAATAAGCTACACAATTTGTGCTACACAAATTGTGTATCTTATTTTGAGGTAATTTTGAAATAGCTTATTTCAAAATTTGGCTCTGTGTTGAAATAAAGTGCTATCGCAAAATGTCCCTTATCCCTCATGGAATGAGGATTACAAGGACACCGGGGTAGCACACCCATTATTTTGAAATCTATTTCAAAATAACAGGCTGCTTTAAAGATGTGGCATAGCTATTTTGGGATATTTCCAGTATCCTGAAATAACTCCACAGTGTAGATGTAACCTTGGAGTCTATATTTGCCTTCACTTTGGATCCAAATAAAAATAGCATTTAGAGACCAGTCTGAATTGGAATACTAGAGCTAAATCTCTTTGCTCACTGGGAAAGTTTGAATCAAAATAAAATATTGCAGCAGACTGCCCATCTCTATTATGAGCATGACTAAGACCACTCCTCTTGTCCTACTGACCAAAAATCTACATAACACCAGACCTCCCAGACAGAGGGAATCCCAAATTATTAAACCTCCTTGGGTTATGCAAATCTTCTAGAGCCCTAGTCTGGAAATTCCAAAGTTCTCTACTGGCTGGGGTGTCAGAGTCTTGAGCTAAATGAGGCTCCGTGTTGTACTTTTTTTATTTAGGTCAAATTTCCATTGAAGTAAATGGACCGAATTCTGCTCTGTTACAGTGGTGATACTCTGTAATCAAAAGCAGAATTTTGTCTATTGACTTTGGTGTCTGCAGACCTAAACCCTGAATTTTCACATATATATAACATATTTTCAGGGTTAAGAGACTATTTTCCATGCTGTTATTTTATTTGCATGTGCAAATAATTTCTCAGAAATTCTTTGCTTCCAATTTTGAAGGCTGTCTTGAAAATCTAACCCCAAAATTAAATAAACTTTTTATAGGAGAGTACCTGTCCTTACCATTACTTTGACCAGAACTGGGTAAATTTCTTAGGGATTCCTCTCTGTGAAGGCTTTGGCAATCATCTTTGCAGTTCCCTTCTCTACAGAAATAGTGGACTTTGTTTAACTATTTCATTGCTGGTCCTTCTCTCTAGCTGCTTGTGTTGCTATATCATGTTGACATTCCACTGAAGCCAGTAGAATGTCAGGAAGATGTACCTGGTATGTTTCACCAGCAGTCAAGCAATCTGTTAAACTGACTGGACTGGAGCTATTTTCAAGCAATTTTAACAAAAATTCTTATGGCATCTTTTGGATTAGCAGCAAAGCTCTTCTGTTTAATAGTACTGCATACTTCTTCTGGATAATGTTTTGTTTTAGTTGGCTAGATGAATAGCAAACACAGAGCCAATGGTTCAGTGGCTGCTTTTAAGAAAGTAAATCTATTCTGCTTCAATGAATATAGTTCTAACAATAATTGAAACTAAAAAATATTTTTGTTTGGCTTTTGTACATTTTTTTCCCCCTGAAAGATATGTGCAGATTTCCAATTGACTGCTGGCCTCAGAGTATACATTTGCAGTCAACCAAGGTATTTCATTCCTTCTTTTGCTTTTTTCCTAGGGAAAATTCATTTTATTTTTATAAAAATCTTTCATTGTATACTTCATATATAACTAAAATGATCACTCAAATTCATTTTATTAGGACAGGGCTTGTTTTTCATATGATGTCCTGGTATTCTAAGTGCTACTTTGGGGATGTGTGAAATGTCCTGTCTTTCATATTAGTGAAAGTATCTAGGTTTTTTATTATAACATTTTTCTGTGAGGCATATTGCTATACTAATATTAGATATCACGATTTCAACCCTATCATATCAGGTATGATTCTATTTCCAAGGAAGCTAATGCCAACATTCCTATTAATTTCAGTGGTGCAAGACCAAACACATAGGCTACGTCTACACTGGCATGAATTTCCGAAAATGCTTTTAACGGAAAAGTTTTCCGTTAAAAGCATTTTTGGAAAAGCGCATCCAGATTGGCAGGATGCTTTTCCGCAAAAGCACTTTTTGCGGAAAAGTGTCCGTAGCCAATCTAGACGTGGGTTTTCGCAAAAAAAACCCCGTTTACACTGGCCCTTTTGCGCAAAAATCTTTCAGAAAAAGACTTTTGCCCGAACAGGAGCAGCATAATTTTTCCGGAAAAGCACTGATGATTTTACATGAGATTGTCAGTGTTTTTCCGGAAATTCAAGCGGCCAGTGTAGACAGCTGGCAAGTTTTTCCGTAAAAGCAGATGATTTTGCAGAAAAACTTGCCAGTCTAGACACAGCCATAGTAAATACTTGCTCCATCACAATCTTTGTTTAGGCCGAAGCCTGTCATAACTTCTCACGTAACAATATTGTAGCATGAGGAGGATTAGGTGATGATCCCAACTAATCAAGTCAGAATTTCTGCTCTGGATTTGCAAAGGTTGCAGGGCAATTTGTGATCCTGGAGGCTTTTCTGGCCTTAATTTCTCTTGTTCTTTTGCAGTTGGCAGCACCATAGAGAAGAGGGAAGTGAAGGATAGATGGGCACAGGAGGAAGAAGCAGAGCGCAGACTTTCTTTGATCTGTTCCAGGTGAAGCTTTTCTGACCCAGTCAGAGCAGATCAAAGAAAGAAGCCAGAATGCAGAGCACTTGAATATTTCATGATCCTAAAAATATTGCCACAATAGTATCCCAGGTTTTTATTTTGAAAATATGCTCACTTTACATATACCTTGACATTATTTATTACTGGAACCAGATGATCAAAAACTATTTATCCCATTGTTTTATTAATCTCCATCTGGAAAGTGTTCTCTTATTTGTTGTATATGTACAACTTAAAATAAAGAGAAAAGCTAATTATATATGCATATATTTTGTAATAGAAATCTATTTTAAAAACAATGGGTATAGTGTGGGTAGTAGAAAATTTTCTTTGAATGGGGAGGTTTATAATTTTCTTCATAAGTTAGGCTTTTATTTATATAAAAGAAAAAGAAAAGTTATGTTCATAGCTCTTAAGTTCATAGAATCATAGAATAATAGGACTGGAAGGGACCTCAAGAGGTCATCAAGTCCAGCCCCCCGCCCTCAAGGCAGGACCAAGCTCCGTCTACACCATAAGTTTGTGAGGAGAACCTCCTGAAAATGAATTGAGTGTAAACTGATGCACTACTGCCTTTTAAATGGACAGAACTGAATATTTCAAGGACAGTAGAGCAGTATAAAGTGACTCAAGTTAAAATCCTAGTCTGACTTCTCAGGCTGGTTTAAGAAAAAGTGCTGTCTACTCCAAAGTGTGTGCAGCTTAAGGTGTCAGTCCTGCAAAAAAAAATTATCCGTATGCTTAACATTATGCACTGAGAGTATTCTCACTGGTTTCAATGGAATCTTATTTGATTGTGTTGGGTTTACACCCAATATGTAATCTTATGCAGGTGCATTATCATTTGGAGGACCAGTGTCTCTATAGCAGTGAATCAAGATTAATCTCTTATTGAAAAGTCACATGTGCTATGAGATTTTTTTTTTCTTTTTATAATGCAAATGAATGACACCTTCTTCAGGGCAATGAAGATCTTTACCATCCTGCTGGGTCATTGTCTCCCTGATGCAGAGAGAAGAGAGCTCCCTACTGATCATCAGCATCACTTCCTGCACTATCTAGGCTTTCCTTGGAGGTCCTTCATCCACATACTGGTCAAGCAAGATTCTGCCTAGAGTCTGAAATCTGCTACAATCATAATTTCAATGCATTAAACCTTTTAAATGGACTACTCATGAGGAGTTATACTTGTGTAAAATAAATGGAATACATTTCCTTTGTACCAAATAAGAGTTCAATACCCAAGACTAGAAGACTGATTTGAAAAGCTCAACTTGGTGTTCTGTTTGTAACTTAAGGAAAATTCCAGATATTTTTTATCAGGACGCTTATGGCATGTGTACACTGCAGCGTTATTTCAAAATAACAAAGTGCATGTCTACACAGCAAGCCATTATTTCTTACTTTGACATCTGTAACCCTCATTTCAAGAAGAGTAAGGGAAGTCAAGGGAAGAGTGTTCTTCCTTTGACTTCCTGCTGTGTAGACCACGCCAAAAGCTGAACCAAGCTATTTCAACTTCAGCTATGCAATTGATGTAGTTGAAGTTACATATTTTATTCAACTTTTGCCCAGCAATGTAGACGTGCCCTTAAGGGTTGAGACTGATTAGAAGAGGAACTGGTTTGGTGCCACTCATACACTGTGTTAACCTCAGTAATGGCTGAGAGAATTTGTTATTGAATCTGAAGTCTCTCAACTCTGTCTTACTGATTTAAATCGGGTTCAGATTGATGATGACTGCAAGTAGTTACCTCTGATGCCATGTATAATATGAACTACTTGTTTTACCCCAAATCTCATTGCTCTAAAATAGACTGCAGAAAAAATTGACTAACACTTTTTTTTTATTTTATGTGCCATACTATAAACGTATAATCACAACATTCTGCATAATGGCACTTACTGGTAAACTTTGTCATTCCAACCTATTTTGTCTGAAAAAGACCACAGGTCTATGAACACTGGCATACAGCAACTCCAAATTTTGGATAGTGTGTGTGTTTTGAAATTCAGATTTGAATTTGTGGTGCAGGTTCATCTCTATTGTCTCTTCTTTAAGCAGAAAAGGGTACTGAAGATACTACAGAGCCAGGGAAAATACCTCTATATTTGCCTGTGAGTAAATCATGAGCTTTGTGTAACCTCAGCATATGCTTTCTGTTCGTAATCCATGAGGGATATATGCATTTTTATAGCAGTTCAGTGAATCCAAACATTTGACCAGGTAGAATTATTGGAGATGTCAGAAGAAAAGATGTATTTGCTGTTCCTTCTTTCACCTCATTCCAGAACATAAAACATTGTAAATAAAATCTGATCTTGGCAAATCTAACTGGAAGAGTCAGAATCAAGTTGTCAAAGTAATAAACAGTCCAATACAACTGACAATTCTCATGGTTAGGACATAGTTAGTATACATGTACATCAGCTGTGCAAAATGATAGCAGGAGACTAGTGCTGGCTTCAGAAAAAGGAAGAATTAAATTTTGTGATTCCCTGTACTTTGTAAAACTGCCTAATGTTAATCTTCAAAAGGATATCTTTTGGGGGGATTTTTCCTGTCTATTTTTCTCCTCAAGTTTGGGACAGTTCTAGTCTACATTTATTACTCCATTCTGGGCTGTTGGTAGAAGAGAGAGAGACTATAGCTTCAAAGATACTGATTTGTCTTTGATGGAAACTGCATTTGTGACTTGAAATAGTTCAAGAGTCTTGTATCTATTTGTTTCTTTGTCATTCAAATATCAGACTACAAAATAAACACAGATTTTTCCAAAGTGGATGTAAATGTCATGACTGTGTTGGGTATCAAGACATATTTGTGACAGATCAAACTGTTCTCTGATAGTTTTGGACAGATTTTACAATCAGCAGGTTAAGTTAACAGAAGTTGTGAATTATATCTACATGGAATGTATAAACAAAAGTTAAGCTTATGCATGCAAGGGAATATTGCAAAGGTTGAATAATGCTGTCAACATCTACACTGCCAATGTTTCCTTCTTCCGTTCCTTTATAATTCACTGGTATTTTTTTTTTCTTAGATAGATATATATCCAGCCAGATATGTGTGTGTGGATTTATGCTTCCAAATGAAAAAAAGCTGTGCAGTTATTATTTCAGACGTCACCCACTTTGTGAAAGTACTTCTTTTTTTTCTGGTCCTCCACTTTTCTACAGCTCTGCCATACATGACATGCTTTGAGCCCAGTCTATGTTTCTGTGTAAGTGCCTGGAGAATACCAGTTTAATTTAGAAGCAGCATGCCTCAAGTGTTTCTTGGTGTTTGATATCATCACCTATGAAGTTGCATCAGGTGATTAAATGCACAACGGCATTACAGAAAATAATGTGGTTAAAAAGTTTAGATTAAAGGAATCTCTCTTGTATTTTAATACACAGAACCCCTGAGCACAGTGAGGCTCCTTTGCACTATAAATATAGGCAATAAAAAGCAGTCTCTTCTTGAAAGTAAATTGGGAATTTTTTATCTGTTTGTTATTTTGTTTTTACCATTGCAATGACATGTGGAATTTCAGGTTAAGCAGTCAGACTATCATCTATTCAGGACTGAGTTCAAGCTTTGGAGAAAGGTGGGTGAGGGTGACTGAACCTGACTCTGCATGCATTCACTTGAGATCTGTCTAGTGAACTGAAACAAGGTGGGCAACGTGCATAAAAAGAGATGCTGCTACAGTATTTGTTAGTTAATGCCTCTCACAATCATGTGGTTTACATTTATGGTCTATGGACTGAGCATGGGACTGAAAATCAGGATCCCTGGAATCTGAACCTGGCTCTTTCACTGACTCACTGTATATTCTTGGGCAAGTAACTGAAGCTCTTGCTGTGCTTAGTTTTCTCAACATTTAAAACCATTTGTAGTAAAACTGTTCTTACCTCCCTCCTGTGGGTGTTTTAGGGATAATCAGTTAATACTCATACAACACTTTGAAGTTAGATTTTAGACAAGTTGAAACAGAATTGAAACATGATTAGAAATTTATATAGATAATAAGAACATCCAAGGTTACCTCTGATGAGATAAAAATGTCTAAGGAGTATAAATGCTGATGCTTTCTTGTATAACTAACTGCCTGGGATTAAGAAGAAACTTCTTCTATGGACAGGTTCTCACATAATTGCTTTTATGTGGTATTTTTGTGCCTTCCTTTGAAGCAGGATATTGGACTAGACAAACTACTGGTCTGGTTGGGAATGGAAGCTCCTGGATTGTGTTCCTGGGTCACATTATTTGGTGCAGGGAAATGCATGTTGTACAGCTCTGCCTCAGTAAGGGCACCTACAGGCTTTGGGAGAGTGTGAGTGAAGTGTCTACTGTAGGGGTTTTTCTGAAGGAAAGCAGCTTTGCTTTTCATGAGGCTACATAAGTATTTGTTGGTGTAAGATGCAGCAGGGACACCCTGAATCAGCCACTTCCCTCATTCATGTCACCATATTCACAAACCACTCCCTAGCCAGCATCTGGTCCGCAAAGATCTCTGTTATGGGTGACAATATTTCCATTTTATAAAGTTCCCGGTTTCTAGCAAAAGTGGAAAATTAAATAATTAGACTTTGGATTTACTGCTAATTAACAAAAACAAAACAGAGAAGAACATTTTTTCTTTGTTCTTGCAGCTTTTACAAATATATAAGAACTTGTTAAATTAAGGACTAAATGTTTATTTTAAGTTTGCTTATTGGACAGCTGGGTTGACTTCTTTTTTATTAAACCTACAGTTTGTGTTTCTATATCACATATAATTGTTCATGTTCATTGTTGTTGTTGTTTTCCTCTCTTTCTTTTTGTTTCTCACCTCTTTTTTGGGGGGAGGAGGAGGTACACACAAAGGAAAATAATCATGCAGAGAAATCCTAAAACTCTTCTGGTTTCCCTAACCAGCACCAGAGATTTACATTTTTATAAAAGGGAGGGAGAACCAGAGAGAGAAAACACTAACACAGGACAGCAGTGAAATTACGCAGATAAATTTTTGAATGCTTTTATCTAGTAAACATCCTAATGATCAACTTCAAAGGCTGAAGAAAGAAGTCATTCCCTCTCTTCTGCCAGATTGAGAAAGAGTGGGCTCTTTTACATCTCATATGGGAGATATGAGGAGCCTTTGAATGGATCATTGCTTTTTATGAGTAGTAATGAGGTGAGAAGTATTCTAGTGTGTGGCACAGGCCTTCATTAAAAAGCGTGAAACAGAATGGCTTATGGTTAAAAGGAGTAATTTGTTCTAACATACTTGCTAAATTGTGCTGTAACCATGCCAGGTCACTGAACTACATTTTCCGTAGGCTTCCCAAATGCATTTGTGTGCAATTATTCTGCCTGTACAGAGTTCAGGGATTTTTCCAAGGCTTGTGCTAACTAGTTGACAACACAAATTCCTTTACTGGAAACTCTTCTAATTGGTACATTTAAAAAGGTGTAGATGAATTCAGAAATGTTTGAATTCTTCTTTTGGGGCCTAATTTTTCTCAGAGAAATCAGAATGCTACTGAATTAACATTAATCAGTGTAAATTGACAAAAATATCTACAGAACTTAGGGCATGTCTACACAGCTGCATTATTTCAGAATAATGTCTGGTACTGCGCGTCTACACCGCAAGCCCATTATTTTGAAATAAATTTGAAATAATGGGCTTCTTATTCTGACTTCTGTAAACCTCATTGTATGAGGAGGAAGGAAAGTCGGAGGAAGAGTGCTCTATTTTGAAATAAGTGTTGTGCAGATGTGCCCAAATTCGAAATAATCTATTTCGACTTAAACTATGCAATTGAGGTAGCTCAAGTTGCATTGCTTATTTTGAGCTTAGCCCTGCTGTGTAGACATGCCCTTACTGACCTTGTTTAAAATAATGAATAGGAAAACAATCCTCTCAGTTTCTTTCCTGGTCTGTTAAATTGTGCCACACAATTCTACT